TTATAAGTACATTTCATGTCTAAAAAAGTTCAATTTTTGAAACTATAGGTAGAGCAAGAAAAGCGATCCTCAAACACAGCTGGTGGCCACGGTGTGTTAAGTTGGCCAAGTGTGTTTCCTTTCCCAGATGGTCCACATATGCATCTGCCATTCCACTGAATACTTCTCTGACAACTCAGGGTTGAGAAAAGAGACTAGTGTTCTTCAGGCCAGCTCAACTCAAAACATGCACAGTGAAACACTGACGTTAGACTTATTGAGTTTCCAAGCTCCTCTGTCATTACAAAGGCTATGATCAGTGAGCAGCCATCTGAAGCATCTCACCATGACAAACACATGGGATGCTCTACAAAGGAAGAAAGTGAGAAAGATGAATTGCATCACTGACATTGGACAGCTGTTTACCAAATTGCACATTACACGTATAGGGAGGTATTGCTACACATCAGGGTACCTATAAGTCCTACAGGGCCAAGGCGTAAGTCATTTAAAAGGTATTCATCGTCACAAGTCATTTAGTGCAGGACTGGGCCTAGATAAGTATTTAGAATCAATATATCAAAAACATTTCATGGAGGTGAGATAACACCAATGAGATTTACTGAGATAACACCAATGAGATTTACTGAAAGCGAAGGACAATTGAAAATCAAACTGTGTTCAAAAGAATTACTTCAAGTTCCATCACATCGTAAAGGGATACTTTTAAAGTTATAATTCCTTGATTTACACAAATCAATTATCAAAAGCTCTGTTCTTAACATTGCAATGCCTTAAATGTTATGTGACCATTTAGCTGTTATGCTGCACATTTCGATCTGCTAAAGCTAAATGGTATATTGACATTGCTTACTAAGCCACTAAAACAGGCCCCTTAAGTCTAACATACTTTATTCCAATCCCACCAGTGATTGTAAAAAGGTGGTTTAACTAGTGATGTATCTTTGTGGACCCTTGGGGAAATAAAGAGGAAGAAATTTCCTCATCACACATCACATTAACAGGTCAGGCTGCCAGATGGACGAGAATGGTGGTCCATGCTGAAGACCTGCTGGCTAATGGAACAAGGGAGATGTTGTGAGAGCATGAAAGGCTCATCAACTAACACTATGAAAAGGAAAAACAATTAAGTTGTTAGTAACTAGAGAAAATCCATGAAAGTACGACACAAAACAGGCTGGTTAAAAGCCAGGGAGCTGGAAAACTGTAATGACAGACACACATGATTCATTTGACACCAATAAAAACTAACATATCCCTGATCTGATCTTTACAGTGCTAACGTCATTGTAATTTATAAGATGACTTTGTGAGATAACAGAGGATGAAAACAACTTTTGGTGACACCAAACAAGACATATTGCTTGTGAAGCAACAGGCATTTCCAATGTGAATGGATAAGCTGTGTTGGATGTGTGTACATCAGGTGAGTCCTCAGTGGGGGTGGTGTGGTTCTGTCATAATAAGTCTCCTTGGCAGACATTTGTGGTTCAAAGATAATGAAGTACTGAGGACTGCTGTAAAACAGACTGAGGAGAGGATGAAGGAACATAAGTGTGGAATTAGAGAGGAAATTGCCATGGTTCACAAAGTCTAAACAAGTATTTTGTCTGTTTGCTTGATGAGACACTGTTTGTCCCCAAACCTGAGTCAGGACACATACCGGTACTCAGTAATTATGTGTTAGTGTTTTTAATGCATCAACCAAAGGACACACATATGAGCACCATAAAGGTATTTACACACACTATTGGTTATGCACATTCACTTGCAGATGCTCCCAGTCTTTGACAGCTCAGAAGACAGGTCTGAGCCCGTAAGGAAAAGCACATGTGCTCCAGGAGACTAAACCTCCTGGCTCATCTTCGTTGACTAAACACTTTCATCCTCACCCCAATCTATCAGTCTCCTTTTTTTCAGTGAACTCTCTAAACATGTGTGTTGTACGAATCAGTGTGCATAAAGTGTGGCGGAGAATGTGTATTAAAAAAAACCAGTATACAGTATGTGCATGATTTATCTAGGCTCTCGGTTCTTCTTTCTTTACACTGTCTATTCTGTCCTCCCCATGTCCACTCGCTCTTTTCATTTCTCTTATTTTACTGTCTTCCTGTTGTGAAGCAGACAAGTGCACTTATTGCTTCTTCAAATGATGACCCTGATATGAACTGCCCTGCATGTATTATGAATCAGACAGGTTTTAAGATGAAGCAAAAGATAAGGTGTATGTATGGGCAGTCAGTATTGAGTTGCAGACTCATAATATTCAGTCGGACTTTACAATGACTGGGTGGGTGATGAATTCACTTTTTTCTTGGTAACTAAATATGAGCAATAATTCAGACAACCCAGAAGTGAGTGTTGGCCACATCTTGGCTTTACTACAGGTTGGCCTGTTGTCACAGAAATCATTAGATCCAAGATGTCAGAGCTGTGTCAGAACAAATCCCAGAGACATGTTACTGCATTGACCAGATTCATGAATCATCTTAAATTGTATTTGTATTGAAGTTCTTCCAGGCATGATTTATCTTGCACGTAATAGTATGAAATACATTCACTATTTTTTCAATACTTCTCATTATTATATTTATTAGGTGGCAATGAAAACACAGCATAAAGTTCTGATAAGAGGTGATGACTTTATACATTTAGTTGCCAGTTTTTTTGGCAACTAGCAAAACAGCACTACAATAAATCATACCGTAATGAGGTTTGATTGATGAGGAGTGGTGAGCTATTATCACATGATAATTATCAATTCTTTTATTTCTTTTGGCTCACTAGCTGTAGGTGGAACTCCATGAGAGACCCAATGTATTGAGAGGTCAGGCACAGCAACAGTATTGGTCAACTTGGATGACTTCAATTTTGGACTGAGAGCCTCCCCAGTTTGTCTTTTCTTCTGCTGAGAACTGACCACCCTGAAGTTAGTTTCCATTCGAACCAGCAACCAATCACAGAACTAACAGAATGGAATAAAAATGATAAAATATGTGTGAGCTGGTGAGGCCCTTGTTTGAACTAGCAGCTAATGCTAGTTCTAGGGAAGCCCAAAACAGGTGGCGCTTAGTATCTTTGCTTTAGTCATTACGATTTACGACAACACACTTATTCTACACTTAGAACTACACCGGCCGCAATAAACATTAATATGTAGTTTGTTACTTGTTTACAGTCCACACACTGTTTAAGAGCGACTAAGGCTAACCTACAAAAGCAAAGTTCTGGGATCACACCATATGAAGGCGTAATCCACCTTTGCTTGAGGCAACAAAAAAAGGAAACGTCCAACAGCTGTTCATAAAGAGAAAGTTCCTCTTTCCAGCTTTCAGTGTTTTGTCAAAGCTGGCTGCTGACAGACTTCACAATTAGTGTAACATTTACAAGGTCTTGCATGAGCTACGGTGCAATTCAGTGCAGTCACGCTACTCAAAAAAGCCAGCTGCTGTTCTCCATTACTGGCCAGGCAAGGTGCGTATATGAGGAATGCTATGTCACTGCTTGGCTTCTACAGAGAATGCATGGCAGCTCTCTGCATGTGCGTGTATCTAAGAGAAGTTAATTGTTGTTTGCATTTGTTTCTCTTTGGCAACAGAATATTGCTTTCTGCATTAATGTTTAATGACAAGGGCCAGGACTTTTCTTTTGCATGCTGGTATCATATAATTTCTCATTTCAAACTCTGTCTAACTGATGCAAATGTATTCAACCTGCGTTTGTGATGGCTTTAGAAGTTGTTTTTTTATAAACATGAACACTCATTAGGTATGCAGAGTTTTATATCAACATTTCTTAGTTTCAGGCAATTGTTGTTTAATGGAATGTAAATGCTCTCACTGTTGGAGAGCAACATTGAGAGATTACTCAACATAATTACAACCATGAAGCGGAACGTATTATAGCCCCTCTGTGAATTTAAGCTCTCCTTTAATTTTAAAAGTTTGTAAAACCTCGGCTGACCTCTTGCTGTTTTCTCTACTTAAGATGTTTTCCTTTTTTTCCAGTGCTTTTTTTCCAGAGACAAGCATCGAGTGGGATCAGGAGATCCTCGACCCAAAATACTTTTATTTGAAAAACACAAGGAGCTGCTTTCAACATTGTTTGCCTTCCTTTTTCTCAGTAATGTAATATCTGCCGTGTCCAACCGTTGAGTTATAGGGACAACTCAATAGCATGCAAAAGCCAGGACTGAACTTCCTTGCAGAGCTCAGCCAAAGTCAACTTCCATCAAATACTTGATATTAGATCATTTTCACATAATGGCTCTCCTGCAACTCTTATTGGAGGGTGGGGCTGTGGCGCTCCAGAGGGACCCTTCTGTAACCTGCTCCATGTGTTATCAGGACTATAAGACGATTGCTTGTTTCCTTATCTTCCTCAACACATAGAGGTAGGCTGAGATTTTATCAGCAACGCTTACAGAAATGAAACGATGTCTAAACATTGCTAAGTACCAATGCAGCGCAGCCTGTAATACAGCAAAGGAAAATATTTACTGTATGGTATCTGAGAGAAGGGCCATGGTGTGTTCCAACACAGAGGTTTCCAGATATTGTAAGGGTCTAACATTACAATAACATTAATCAGTGCTCTGGCACCATTGTTTGGCAGGCGATGATGGCCGGCTTCACTCTGCCAATCATCACTCCCTTCTACAGCGGAGGTGTAGCAGTGGAATCTCTGTATGGTCCCACCTAGTCAGTGCGCCCCAGATACATGCAAAGCCAGTGTAAACAAAAGCTGAAGAAAACATGGGGTTGATAAGAAAAACGTTGACAAACAAAGAGTGTTTCTCTTAAGCCAATGCTATGATTCTGGTAAGGTGCCCCTTGTCTCTGTTTGTGATCATAATGCAGTTCATAGATTAACCTATGTCACCAACCCCAAAACAATAAAGCCTATTTCCTTCCTTGGAACTGTGTATGTAATGCAGAGGAATTTTCCATGTGGTAACCCACAGAATTCAGTTTCCCTTTTGTTACATACAATTGACTTACCTGGTTTAGGAAGCTTTCCTTGACCTAAAAAAAGTAGGAAAAAAAAACACGTATGTGAACAATCACTGGAAGTTATTTCAAAACATTTTGCAACAATGACTTTCTGAACCAGTGATTTCATTTGGTTTTAATCATTGAAAAATAGAGAGCCACATTCCCTTTTCATTGAATTTTGTATTTTCCTTAATGATATTGAAGATTTCTTTATTTAAAAGCCCCTAAACATATTAACGATTCAAGAATGTTTCTGCAACATCCTACCTGCTCCCAGTCCAATGCCGTAGCCACCAGGCCCAACACCTCCTGGCACCAGACCACCCGAGACCCCACGTCCTCCTCCTCCATAACCTCCTATTGTAAGGGTTAAATAGAGACATATATTTTCATCATAACCATCTGCCGTTATGTCGTCATGTCCTAGTCTTCACCAGCATCATGCTAATCATGTCTGACTGCTGAGCTTGTTTGAGAGAAAAGAGTAACAAGCCACACATTCTCAAAGCTCGAACCTCATAATATTTTCCAGCAAACTGGCTTAACCACAGCGGTTGGCCAGCTAACACATTGTTATATCCCTGGGATATAATTATTCTGAGCTTTTCATGGTTTGACAGGGAAGTCTGGCCATGTGCTTCCTCCAGATCTGACCAAACCAATGCTGAGTGTTGACAGGGAATTTGTCTTAAGATGAGAAAATTGTTTTTTCTTGATTTTGTTCAAATAAATGCTATGCTATTGGATGCTCCAACTTTAGTTTGCACGTAACACTCAGAAACATCTTACAACATCTAGCTAACAACTTCAAACTCTCATCAAACATCCATCATAACTCTTAAGCCGTAACCATGAAGGTATAAATTGCTTGGATGGTGACACTACTTTTCACAATGCATTGTGAGATACCATGAGTGCACTGTATAGAGTATGATAATGCTCACTCAGAACTCAGATAAGACTAAAAAATGGTGTGTTTACTATAAAGTGCACTATATAATGAGTAGTGTGTGATTTTAAACATACTCACAGTGTGTGTATGTGTGTGCATTTAGAGCTGAGTGTGTCTGTTATGGTTGTGTGAAATGACACATACAAGAGAGTTTCTGTGATATCTCATTATGCCAAGTAGTGGAAATGGCAAAAAACACAAGAAAACCGGAAACTGAAGGATTACTTAATGAAAAGATATTTAGTCTAAGTTAAAATTATATGTTAAACTAAACTTAATGAATAAAGATAACATCTCTTGGATGAACCCATAAATCAGGTTAAAGATTATCATTAGGCCAAAAACATACACAAAATTGCAACACATGTTTGTTTTTGTTCTTCAAATTACTAAAAGTGCAGTGTTAGATTCATGAAATACCAGATGTGATTCTAAAATACATTTTATATAGAGGCAAAAATCATAAATCTAGTGTCTCCTCTACTCACCTGCAGCTTTAGCTGGTTTATAGCCTGCAGGGACTCCTCCAGCAGACCCTTGTAAAACAATAAACATACAGAGTATTGACTTAAGCTACTCCTATTCGTAGTGAGGTATGGATACAGTTTTTTGTCAAGCAATTCATCATCTGACTTTAACTGAATTTCTCACAAGACTGTGCTGTTTTGTGTTTTCAATGCAATGTTGGCAGTGAGGTGTACTAGTATGATTAAACCACAGAGTTGAACATGAACTGTGTTATAAGGAAACACATAGTTCGACTATATTTAATCTAAAGAAGAGTTGCATTTTAAGTTATGCATACGACATGCAGAGAAATGTCACAATCAATTATTAGGAAAACAGTTCATCGTACAGTGTTGGCCTTTCATAGCTGTTTATGTGTTTGCCTTAATGTTGGTGAGACAGAAGACTGAATGAGGATACTATCTGTGAGAACTATTTCCGATCATTGATAGTATCAATGCCATGTGACCCTAAAGGTGTACATTTCAACCATAAACTGTCAGATTTGCACCAAATCAAATGTTCTTACTTCCTAATTTATTTTATTACAAACCTGTATTTCTGTGACCTTAGAACTTGTCAACTAATTTTTACACATTTTGTAACAATGTAATTTGTTTGTTTAGGCTGTGTTTTGTTTTATTTTTAACTCTCCTGACAGTCAGAGGCTTTTACCTGGAAAGAATCCAGTTCCTGGTCCAGTTCCTCCTGGTCCAATCCCAGCACCTTGTGGTACATAAACACCTGGAACACACAGAAACACAGAAAGCTTAAGGTCATCCTTTATAACCAACACTTCGGACAACAGTAAAAAATGGCCAAACTGTTCTCAGCTATCAATTCTTTTTATTGCAGCACTTACAAAAAGCATTTCCAAACAATGACACATTTATTAGATAAACATTCTCAAACACTTTCATCATCTGTGACCCAGACAGAAACACTCAAAATCTATCCAAGGCCAATGCAGTGATTGGGTCTACAATGAAACATGAACAAAGCAACCCCAGCCAGAGTCAGGGGCAAGGGCAAATATTGAGTAAATAGTATTTGCTTGATTAGGAAAAAAATCCTCTTGTTTTAATTCTGATTAGGAATTTCAGTTGGAGGCCCGCCTTAGAAAGCTGCTGAAGCTCTGCGAACATCCCTCAACCCCCACCCCACACCCCCTAGCCTAATTTCTGGCTGACGCCCAGAGAAACTCCTGAGATGGTCGTTCTGAACCCCAGACATGGTGGCCTCATGTATGTAAGAATCGGCAACAGCAATAAAAGAGAGGGAGGATCAAAAAATGCCTGCAGTTGTAATGGGATGACTAACAGCTAAATCCAACCAGACCGCTGAGCTAAGGCCAAAATTACAAAGTCGTATTTTTGAAAGGGAAAACCCTGGTTTATAGTGCTATAAACACAACGCAATGGAGAGTGGTGCTGCAAGATCACAGCGATTATGTTTAATGGTTCTTAAATGTTTTGTAAGGCCAATTAATTTAAACCCTGTGTGAAAGACGTTTCTGTGTTTATTAGAGAAAACTGTGAACACTGAACACTTTCAGTTCCGTCCACTGAGTGTTACCATTAGATCATGAACATCATGAGGTATTACTATCTGATGTAGTTAAATCAAAATTTATGATGCCATTAAATAATGAGCCAAAAAAGTACAATATACATGCATTTTATTAAGTTTGCCTGCATATGGCTGCATCACACTGATGAAGGCTTCAACCTTTTTCGAAAGACAATGTTTTTTTTGGTTTTTTTTAACTGCTAAGGTCAAGCAGAAATGCAGTCACAGTAAAGATAAAGCATTTTATCAGATTTTTAAAGGATACTAAGTACAAACATATATGGTACCCATTGCTTTAGAAGAAAATAAGGAAGAGAGTACACTATTTTGGGTGAAGGTGTTTAAATAATAAAGTGAAAACTGATTAATCTCAAATTGTTGATGCAATTGCTTGATGTTTATGTAAAAGAGATCAAGATTTTTGCAATACACTTTATGTCTGTTAAGAGGAAGGAAATAAATCCCTATTTGTTTTTAAGGCAAAAAAAAAAGTCTTTCTTTGTTTCCTTGTGTAAAAAGCATCGAGCCTGGGGCTTACACAGAGTATGGTCATTAACAATGTTGCCCAATTTCTAATGGTTTAAGTTCAGTTTCAACAACAATATAAATGGTAAAAGATATGTGCTATGGCTTAGCCAAAAAACTCAATGTGATGAATAAATCAGTGCACGAGGAAGGGTTGTCTTTGATCTCACAATGAACACCTGGGGACAATGATAGAAATATGGAGAAGTGATAAGAACTTGTAAACGCTAAGACAAATAAGTTATTCAGTTGCTCTGCATCAGTTGGCTAAGTCGATGTAAGTAATATGTGTGTGTTTTTGTCTGTGTCTCTCATTTTGCTCACACTATTGGCTTCATGGCAGAAACCTAAGGTTCATGCACCACACTTTAAGTTGAGGTTGATTGTTCTCGATTCTGCCCGTTCATTTCACAATCAAAAGGAGGATTTCCTGTCTCGGCACTGCAAGCGAGGCAAGAGGGAGTGTGTGTCTACTCTACTTTTCCTTTTTCTTAGTATCCCATCATGGGTCAAAACCACATTTTCAGAGTGCATTAGGTTCATTCAGATCATGCATCCAAAATTTGGCACACACTGATTTCTGCAGAGTGACATGACCTGCCTCAGCAAATTTGAAGATTTCTTCATGATCGTACCAATTATCCTCTTCATCATCATGCTCTTACGTTCCTTGTGAAATCAGCCAGGTCATGGGAACGTGCTGGAATGTGTGTGAAGGATAAGATGTTTCGCAGAACGCAGGGGATTAGATTTCATAGTTATCTCCAGTTTTAGTTAAGAGTAAATTAGGTTTGGGGTTAAAAAAAAACAACCTGTGAAAATGTTTTAAATAATATTATTGCCTTTGGTCTGATCTTTTTGAAGCAATGGCTCCTCCATTAAAATATTGAGATAGACAGATTAAATGTAATTAAGTCTTGTGTTTACAAACCTAATTAATAAGAGGATGACGGGTTAGATACAATTTCTTAAAACTATGTTTTTCAGTTGAGGACAGGTTCATTGAACTTTGACAGAGCAAGACACGTGTTGTAACTCTGTCAGAGGCTCGCGCAGTTCATACACAACAACTGCTATTAGTTAAAAACAATTACTGTTAAACTTAATAGACCTTTTTATGGTTGTGGTTACAGACCAGAGTTCCTCTGAGTGCATTAGGAGGGTGATGATGTGCATGCACTCACAGGAATCCTAACAGTGATTTGAATTTATCTTCACTCCACCTTTGACTTGAATGTTGTCCAACTTTCAGACTGAGAGTGTCAGTGAGCGAGGAATGCAATAAGTCATCAGCATAAGGGAAATAGGTCAAATGGATATATAAGGTACAGTGTCCAGAAGTGACATACGGAAATTTCCTTCATTGTATCAGTGTCACATGTCATTACAGTGTCTATTTATCAAGTGTTCAAACTATCGTATGAATTATTCCCCTGTCAAGATGTCCATATGGGTCTCACATGTGTTACTGATGGGCTGGAATTTGTGTCCTTTTTTTGCAACAGAAAAGTTTTGCCCTGTGGGTTAAAATTTGGGCCTAAATGCAAAACGTGTTTTCATCCAACAAATGGGAATAGCTGTTTCTTAGAAATGACTAAACCCATCAGACACAAGCCAACAGACTTAAAGGTCTGTGTCCAGCACATTGTGCGGTAGTTTTGCAGCATGTTAATTTGATATTTTTCAGGGGGTGGGAATTGTACAATTGTAAATTGTTAGTCAGAACTTGTTTTGTAGAATAAAGCTAAAACGATGACTGTTTTTCCATGGTGCCTCCCATGTTAATGACAAGATTTACAATTGCACTTCATGACTCTTAAAAGTTTAGCTGTTACTTCATTTACAACAAGCCGTTGAGTAATGTGACATTTCCATGACCCTTTGCTGTGCTAGTTTGAAAATTGCCCTTTTACAAACTAATGAAATGCCTTTAAGTTGGTGGAACAATTTGCATGTACTTAGGGATGCTAAACAAACTTTTGAGCACATACACATCTCGCACACACACACACACGCACACACACACACACCAAGTAACCTCACAAAGTTAATTATCACGTTTCCAATCCGTTACAAAAGACGGATAGCACCATTACCAATTATGATCACAGTGCTGTGGTCCACATAGTTTTATGTCGTAGAGAAATGTGCTCACACCACTTTAACCACCTGCACTTAGACAACTCTACACCACTATTTCAATCATTTTTAAGAAATAAAAAGGGGTTTTGGCAAACTCACTACTGTTGTGTTCAGACCAATCCAAAACCAATGTCCCTTAAGAGGAGGATTGGTTCTCACTTTTTGGAAAGCTCTCATAGTGCAACCCAAAGCAACAGTGCAGTAAAGCAAACACTGTGGTTGCTGGCACCCTCACATCCTGTATTATCAGACATGTGACAGCTGGCCTACTATCAGTCACCCCTGCTCTGTCTATTTTCCAATGCACTTTAGAGGGTGGAGGAGGAAAGTGTGAAGATTATCAAAGAAAGTGTAACATTTTGATTGGAAAATCAACCTCATTTTGCACTCACTCTGACCTGACTCCATCTCTTATTTCTTTACTTGTCCCACTGACACTTCTAACGGCCCTGAAAGACTGACGGACTCCTTGGTTTGTCAGGGCCTTTAGAAGCAGGACATCAGTTTGAGGTATGCAGCGGTAAACAAACACACAGCCCATGGTTCAATTTCTTGTGTTTGGGTGTCTTGTGTGAAGCCTTGCTGGAAGCTGACAGCACATCATGACAGGATAAGGAGAGTTAAGAAGCCTTTGAAACTTAGACAGGGTTTGGAACAGCTGTGGACTCTCCTATCTGAGTTTTCCAAATCTGAACATGATGACAAATGTAGATAGCAATCAACACATGTGAAAACACAGAAGCTAAGGGACAAAGTTCATATTATAACTTCAGTCCAAAAAATGTGTCATAAAATTAAATTGACAAATTTGTACGGTCCAGGGACCATTAAGGGCCTCGTTGACTATTTATTCATTTATTATTAATAAGTCCCAAAACTCTATTTATTTATTTTTAAGAAAATTACACCAGCCAATACAAAACACGGAGTTCAAATATACAACTAGTATGTACTGAAAAAGTGAAAAGTATTAAAAGAGCACTTTCTGTTTTCAAATCTGGTTCCTTTCTTTGGCAATACCTCCCTTAAAAAATGCAGCTAAGCATTTCAATGATGAAAATCCTGGCTGAGTGAAATATCCATCATCAGATTCATATCATTTTGACGTTTACTCTTTACTTTGATCCTGGCGAGGACAAACGCAGTATACAAAGTGTAACAGTGGAAAGCAAAGAATGTTTGATTTATACATATGTGGGAATGGGGTGTGTTCTGTAGTAGTTGTAATCCTAAAGCAAAACGAAACACACAAAAGAATCCTGTTTTGTTTTGTTTGGACCATCTTATTGCTGCCAAAGGCCTAAAGGTGCTATGTTACCCCCAGCCTGTCCCACAAAGAAAGTGCACTAATAAAAAACAGAACACAATGTTTTCATTTCAGAGGATTCTGATTACAGAGACGTCATTTGTTTTGATCAGAATTTCTCTCTTTTCTATTTTACTCTACTTTATTGAAACAATCTTTGTATTCTTATGTTGTAATGTTGTTTGTAAACCAAGAAAAGCTCTGACATGATCAGGCAGTGGCAGGTCAAGATGAAAACATTCCTCACAGGAGCCATTTGAGATTGCTGGCCCAGCAAGAACCGCTCGAGGAGACCTCACAGCCTGGTGAGGGCTGTTTGCAGAGTGGCTTGAATGAATCATCCGAGTTAATGTGCTCCTTTGTTGAGCACTTGGCACTGGTATTCTGCAGAAGAAACATCCCTGTGGGAGATGTTAGGACTGACATTCATCCACAACTACAGAATAAGAAGTAAACATTTACGAACGGATGTTTTCTAGCAATGTTAAGGACTTACTACTGCATCATCTTGACTAAAGGTAGACTGTCAATAAAAAACAAACTATGTGAATGGGGCTTAGGTGATGTTCTCCACCACATTTGCAGTGACATACTTTGATATACATATCTTTAAAAACAAAGATATCCCTCCAAAACTTTGCTCTGATAGCAACTTGATCCTTACAGAAGTTTCAGTAAAACTGGAGATACAACTATTCGAAAACAACTAAAACGTTATCCCTTCTGGCAAGAAGCTTTAATGCAGAGTGTGACTACCCAGCCATGCAACCTGCTTTGATGTAAATCCGAAAACAGTGGATCAAATAAGCCAATCTCCTAACACTTTCCCAGAATATTTGCCAGAGTAAGACACAAATAAATGGAAAAAACAGTTCTTTCACAATAGCAAACCATAGTCAGTCAGTGCTTGCAACCAAAGGGCTCATTCCCCCATGAGTACTGAATGAGATCACCTCACTGCAAATTACACCAAACCTCTCTATATCAACACATGAAAATGCTTTTGCAAGTCCGGCATTAAAGAAGCAGAATGAATTGAACAAAAACTGTAGTGACTAAAGTATTTGGGTCTTACACAAACTGCAGTTTCAATGGTCTATTCCTTTAATTGCACGATAAGCCTGTGGAACACTGGGGTGCCTCTGTAGCACATTAAACCAGTGTGCTGTGGTTGGCGCTCAATCGTTCCAGCAGACAGATTAGAGCCAGAGGTGTACACAACACACGCAACCAATAAAGCCTGAAGCAGCACTTGCTTGGGGAATTAAGACAATCGGTTTGGGTATCTACCAGCAATGCTTGGGTAAGGCTGCAATTCATCACTAGTGCTTTGTGACAGCCAAGTCATACCATCCAATATGAATTAGTTTATCTACAGCCAGCCGATTGTCACTGATTAATGTATTGAATCCCCTGAAGTCTCAGGGTTGAACTTGACCAGCGCCAAATGAGGCAAACTAGCTTCCAGCAGAACTAAAATAAACATTCCCCAACCTCTTTAGTTCCTTGGAGACTTTGAAGGAACATGGCAGCTATTCTCCCTCTTCATCACCTACTGCTGCTTAGAATTGTGCTATTAAAAGTGGCAGTCATAAATGCCAAACCAAGGCAAAGTACACCAGTTAGAATTTAAAGCTGTCTGAAGGAAACATATTTCAGGGTACAAATCAGATGAACTGAATAAGTGATCTGGGCATTTAAAATGTTAGCATAAACAACAAAAAGCAACCTTACTATCTTACTTTTATTAGTTCAATAAGGGAATAAACTTGATTAAATTCCTGAGGGAAGGAATGTAGTCGAATAATTCAACAACCGTCCAAGACTGGGTCTGATTAAGTTATCAAATGTAGCAATAAAAAACAGAGGCCACTCAGCCCAAGCTGCCTCTATTCAAATTTATAACCTCCAACTCCCTAAGACAGATGATGCTTGTTTGTAGAATTCAAAGTAAGCCTGCCTCCTACATAGTAAAGGGGAGAGATAACAAACATATTACAGTACCTACTCAAGGTCACAAGATGCTAGACAGTGCGCTAATTTATTAGCAAACTCCTTCCCAGATGTTTCCTCTTGGACTGTAACTCATTTACATGTGTCAATGGAAATCATTCTGACAGCCTTTACACTCTATCATAGTTCAAGGGGTGAAATTCCCAAACATCGGAGATTTTTCAGTGCATATGCATGAAATGAGGGGACTGGGTCTTAATGAGGTTCATGTTGCTCATAGATAATTGACCCTTGAACCAATCTGAGAGGGGTTTTTTTCAGTCAGAGAGCACAGACATAGATGGACCTAGTTTGTGCGTCACAAAATTTTTTGATATGGACGAATTCAATGTTTTTTTGAGATCAAAGTTGCGCTGCTAAGCCAGTTTGGATATTTGTTGGCGTCTTTAATGGCTATATATCTTTGCCTGAATGCACCTCTCAAATCCCAAATGAAAAGTCGCTGGCACAATAAAAGAAAGGGATCATATCTTAAGAAATAGAGAAAAGAAGGGGAAATTTATTTTTGCATGAAACAATCTACAACCTGCACAGAAATCCTGGTATACCTTGTCATCTTGATCAAATTATTCTTTGAAAAATAATTGGTCTTTATATGAACAAAATATTTCTAACATATCAAACACAATGCATCTAAAAAGACATTTGGAAACTGGGAGATAATAAACATAAACAGCTGGGACTTTTAAGCAAATAAAGATAATCAAAAATGTCTTGACTCCAGTATATCCAGCCCCAAGATGCTTAACATGTTTTCAAGGTGAGGGCTGAATTACTAAAGAGAAACTCAGCCAAAACACAGACACAGATCCAAATCAGACCACTGCAGAAAAGACCAATGCACTGGCTGAATGAGAGTGAGGGGAAAGGCATGGTTACAACCTCTCTCTCTCTATTTAACAAATACTGGATTCTAATCCATACAGGACAATCTTCAAACTCCTAAGTACCATTCTTTCAGAGCTGTAAAAGTGACACTCTCATAAACAATCGTCCAGCAGAAAGTTCATCAGAGGTGGATTTAAACTATGTTGTTTTGCTTTGTGGAAAGATGAACCAGCTGGGACTTTTTCTTCCGGACATGTGTATAGGTTAGGGACTGAAACTATGCAGACATATAACTATAAGAAATATGCAATGCAATGTAATGTATGCACAGCATCACTTATAGGGTTTATTAGTGTGCAGGGGATCAGCCAGACTAAACAATTGATGAGTGTGGAATAAAGGACTGATATCATTTTTCAAATGATCAAACCAGTTTGAAAGTGCAGAAATGTCTTTGAATATCTTAATATGTATTAGAGATGTTAATATGTTTTCATATAATTTACAATTATACCACAAGAATAGAAGAATATAACAGCTAATATGCAAGAACTTAACTTTTCATAGGATGTTCAGTCTTCACTCCACAAGTGAGGAAGAGGCAGAGACACAAATAATGCACCTGTTCAAAGGCTGCGACGGATGCAGTAAAGAATTGTGGTTCAGTTCACCTGTAGCATACACTTACCTCCTTGAAGAGAGGGCTGAATCAGTGCAAGGAGAAACGAGTCCAAAGAAGAGCAACAGAATGTTTCTGTTAGCCATCTCGCTCCAAAATGCACACCCCTCTCCCGATCAGCTGGTTTTATTCTCGACTCACTAATTACCACAAGCTTGTAATCTTATAGAGTTGGAAGAAAAAGAAAAAAAAAGGGGAAAGATAAGGGGACTATGAGTAATTAAGAGAGAGAAAGGACTCTGGTTCAATGGCGATCACTTTGCTTTTTTCCTTCTCTATGTCTGGTGTTGCTGTTTTTATTCTGGTCACTCCTGCCAACAGTACAGATGCTGCTTGCCAGCGACTAAAGAGAGAGAGGGAAAGAGACACACACAGGGAGTGAGGGTGGGGGGGAGAGAGAGAGAGAGAGAGAGAGAGAGAGAGAGAGAAAGACAACCCTCCCTCCCTCTCATCCAGAAGGAATTGAGCTGTCTGCCAAGCATTTGCATGGATACTGATTGGACTTATCTGTAAGAGTCAAAAGAGAGACTGAAGAGGAGCAAAGCACAATCCTAGAAAATTACCAGTTCTCTGTAACTCTAATTTCTGCTGCTTTGTTTTCAACACATTCCTTTTTTTTTTTTTGCTTCTTGCGACAGAAGTCTTTGACTGAGAGGGAAAATAACAGAGCATTATCAGCATATGTTCACAAAGTAGCAGAGAAAGATATTACAAAGTCAATGGGAGCCATGCATTGTCTGGAAACAGCAATGTGCTGTGCCTGTTAGTTTTAGAAGTCAGTCCCAGTGGTTCAGGAACTATACTTTTTTAAAACTGGAGCCAAGCTGATAGTATAGCAAAAACATATGGCTACCCTCCGCCATTACACATGTACATCAGGGGGTGGCCTGTATCTTCAGACCAACAAAACAGAACGGCAATGACATTAAGCTCACTCTAACTTCTAAGGTATGTGTTGCAACTCCTGCCTATTTACCAAATATAGTATTGACAAATCCCAACAGAGCACATCTGAAAACACCTGACTGTTCGGCTATTTAGATCTATCAGGAGTCAGGACATATCCTCACCAGACACCTCACTGCTGACAGATCTGCCACTGTCCATCTGTTCTACCCTGGGACACATTTTTTGGATTTCAAGTAAAGAAGTTCAGTGGACTTTTTACTGGCAAGAGCTGCAGCCAAAGTCATTGCTCCCTCAGACACAAACCTGACAGACTGGGCTGTTGAATGCATGCTAATGAGTTCTGCTTTCCAAGACACACAGTATCCTTCATAGTAGAGACGTTTACAAAAGGTGTCCGTATTCCCTCACGCTGATTTCATGAAGTTAGGTCAGGCAACTTAAGGAAGGCATGTGTTTGCTTTACCTTGCGGTAGAGTCATACAGAGAGGGAATTTTACAAATGTTTCATTCATACAGCTAATCTATTTGTGATGTACATTTGTCAAGTATTGCTAGAAACCTATTCAACTCATGAAACATTTATCTTTACAGTTATTTGAGTATATTACACTAAGAGGCCTTTTTTTTCACAAGTGGGAAATCACGTTCTTAGGTACTGCAGAAATATGAAAAAAAGAAAGTGTTTTTCTTATTAGACTGAATCTGAGTGGTTTAAACACAAGGCTCAAATTGACCAGACTATAAGCTACAGTTCATGTCACACAAAAGCATGAAACTTAGTCCACACATTGAAGCAGCAATAAGTTGACATATATTACATAATTGTATGTTAAAAATTAAAGGGGTCCAATTAGTAAATACTATAAACTAGCAGATTTTATTATCACAAGGCCAAATTAGTTGCCTCAAACACACAAAGAAGAACCTTGACAAATGTTCTCTGTGATCCTAACTATACTGTTATGATAATGCGTTATGAGGATCCACTTCAGTGTCTTTAGCGGTAGACGTGGTTAGTAGGAGGAGAAGCAGGGTCAGTACTGATGACACACCTGAGGGGGGCGTGGTGGCTCTGTCTCTGTAATCTGCATTAGCAGCACCTGCGGAGGAGCCGGGGGAAAATTGGTTTCGAGTCGAAGAGACGCCGCGAGGACGCAGACACCTGAGAGACTGAATCCGAAGTAACGTTTGTTTTCGTTTCAACACTTCACGGGTGCTTTTTACATATGAACTAATCTGATATGAAAGAGAGGGCTGGCGGAGGAGATCGTACCCCAAGTGGCTCCGTGGATCGGGCTGTTCGAGTGAGCTGGTCGCGGCACATACGAGGATCTTTGGGGTGAGTCATCTACACGCACCCCTCAAACAGATAGGACAGTTGCACACACATTCAGATAAGGCAAGATACACATTCACGTTTATGCAACACGTAAGGAGAGGCATTTAGGTTATGGGTTCACTGGCCTTAGCATAGGCGCTAGGATAGCAATTTAGCTGTGGGGCTGTGTGTAGCCGTAACAATACACACAGTTCAAAACAGGAAACTATGGCTGGTTAGGTTTGATACATTTGTTTGGGCAGATACAGTTAACAGGGGTCGTCTAATCGTCATGGAGAACTGTAGACGTTATCGTTTTTCTGTCAGCTATAGTATGCTATCTTACTAAGTCACACAAGATAAACATTACATTTTCTTGGGAACACCATCAGTGGCTTCTTCTTACCTCAACATGTCTGAAGCTGTTGTTGACTTATAGGTACTGACATGGGGAGCCGGATAGCCACGCGGTTATACCAAGCGCCATATATACAGAGGCTATAGTTCTGGAAACTGGCAGCCCAGGTTCTTCGTCCCAGACAAGAGGGCAATATAGATTTCACTTCTGATTGTTAGAAAGAGCAAATCAGCTCACTTAACCCCAAAACTGTAATCTGAGGGACAGGTGTGTTTATGTGTTCGAAGCATTGTCTTGTTTGAAGGAGTTATTCAAGTTTGCTTTGCTTTTCCTAAGGTATACCTGAGATCCGCTATTGTGCTCTACCACACATTTCAACCTACAATTTCTTAAAATATTCCTACATCATAAATTCTTGAATGATGATTTCAACCAGGGAACCATCTGTATTATTCATTGAACTCATCAGATGACAAAAAAACGCAATGAATGATTCCAAAAGATCCATAATAGTCAATAACAAGGAAACATTTGAAGCGCTCTCAGCGCTTCTTATGATTCCAGTAAATCATTAGTTACAATCCAAACATCAGAAGAACACTGACCTAATACTGTATCCTGCAGGATACTTTTTTTTCCAATGTTTGATTGGAGACCAATAACCCCAGCTGAGCAGTCTGTTTGGGGAGTTAAAGTGTATTCTGGATGAGATTGGGGTTTTTCTCCATCTTTTTGCAAGTCCAAGTTTCTATTTTAGCGCACGTCTAGTATTTCTCCACTGGGCTACACTGAATTTTGTTTTTGCCAAATGGCTGAGTTTAAACATGGAATTTGGTTAATGAAAGGTAACACAAAAATCATTCTTATTAGTCATACCATAAACAATGGTTCCTTATAACAATACATTTAATGTGATTGCGTGACAAAGTGCATCATATTGTAGTTTAACTAGTGTGACTTTGGTGGAAATTGCAAATGTTTTGTTTAACCTTAGTCTGGTGTAATTACTAGTAAGCTGTACACAGCAACAGAGTTGATTGGACTGCATATTTTGTCCTAAAATTTAAACCAGGGGCTCTAAACGATAGTGCAAATGCAACTACTTATGCATAGAGATGTAGAAATATGTTAGCTGACAGACTTGAAAATGTGTAAAGAAGATAGTTGACGAGCATTAATAAAATAAAGGTTGGTTGGTTTCCAGTTCCCAGGTCACTGGCCAATCATATCCTCCGATTGTGAGCCTACTAAGTTCAGATATAGGAACTGTCTTATGCACCTAAATCAATATGACAGTTTGGGCCTTCTTTTTGTTTTTTTATCACATTACATTTCGAAACACGCAAAAACATGCATGCCTCCTTAGTTCTCTCTTGGGGACATCCAGGGATTACAAAAAGACCCTTGCTTAATTGCACAACATCTGCAGGCACAGTTGGCAGAGCATCACAGTGTAATCCACTTCAAACTCCCAAGTACTTTTAACTTTTGGCTTTTGGCAGAAGGGAAATGAAGTCTGTCAAGACAGCTTCTGAGGTCATCGCCAGAAACCATATCAACTCACCAAGGTTGTTCAAGTAAATTACATTTCAATGCACTGCAGGCTTTACCTACCGACAGATATACTAATATAAACTTATTGACTGAGTTTTCAGTCTATTTATAACCTGACTTGAATTTCAAATTAGATGCAACATTTCAGTCAATAATTTGAGACAACAGGCTAATTCAGTGAATCTGACCAAAGAAGATAGAACCCAACGTGTTGTGAAAACAGTAATGATAAGACCCACTGTGTCTGAACTGCTTGTTTAATTTCAAACAGTACGTTCAGTGTAAACTTTTGTTTATGTAACACATATACCATGTTATCATGAACAATAGTTCATCAGAGGTGGTATTTTTACCTACTGAAACAGTATGGAAAAAAATGACTAACAAACAATAACGTGTAAAACTGATGATGATGATGGGACTGAACATTATTGAAAGAAATTGACATTGCAATACTTTTTTATTCATGGTATTTATTGCAATATATATATAAAAAGGACAATAAACCAGATCAATGTAGTGTCTTCTTTAATGTACATCAATTGAAATTTCAATCAAACAATTCTTCTTTTTAAAATCTTTTTGTCATTTCCTGATTTCAAATCTAAACCCCCTCCTACTTTCATCACACAGTAGGTCCAGCCCTCTGACAGCAACTCTGACACACACATGCAGAAGGAGGAGGACAGGTGGAGAGAGAGAACAGGTGGAGCAACACATTTCTTCATGAACTTAAAAAATAAAACTTTTGATTTGCAATTGTGTAACTTACGATATATGTTTTAACAATGTTAAGTGCTAAGCAAAAGCTCACTATTTTGAGCTGACTCACGTGTGTGTCGCAAGTGTAGCCACTAAAAGTAAACATTCAGCATCCAAGGTGAACTGACCTGGCTTTGTGATGCTCTCAGTTTCACATGGTAAGTATGTTGTTTTCTCGTGTACTTCTTTTTGCAGGAGAGAGAATTGCTGTTTTACACATGGACTACTATTGGTACAATGAACCTTTGTACAGTGAGTAAGTGTTTACATCTTGTGGTGGGGTGCTGTACTGACACAACCCCTATTGTTATCATGTATTAAGCACAGACTGAGGTTGGCCAGCTCTGATGGGTGGTACCACCATGACAGAGATGTTTGCATCTTCTTTAGATCTGAAGCTGACACTGTACAGATCATTTTGACATCCAAAGAGTATATATACTCTTTGTTTTAAGCTACCAGAAAAAAAAAACACATAGAGAAAGTCAACCACTAGTGTTAGAATAGAGATGAAGTTATTCTGTCAGCCTTTGTCCAGAGGGACACCACAATGTGAAATCTTCACTGATTGATGGATGAAGAGTGTGCAGCGGTACAAAAAATATATTTTCAATTGCACACCCGCACACACAAACACACGCACACACACACGTAGACTGGCCTACCTCCAGAGTGTGATACACACATCCAGACCACACTCCAGATGTGGTTTCTTTGCAGTTAGCATTGCTCAGCGTATGAAGCAGGTTCCAGTGAAGATCAGATCTAAGCCCAGGCACCAAGGGAAAACTGATGAGTTCTGGTAAGGGTCAAAGCAGGCAGAAGGGTGACTCATATTTGGCATTAAAATCTCCAGGACTCCAACTTTAAGAGAGCTTTGCATGCACTCAACTAACACATCCAATTCTCAAGGTATCCATTCTCCTTGATTTTTGCAGTAATCACTTTCTACGTGGGTTTCAATCAAATACATGGCATAGCCAGCTTAGTGTATAAAATTTGGATGCAGTAAGGGTAGAAAAAAGTACAGATTAGGAATATGAGATCTTTATAGTGCCCATTTTAACTCAGTTTATCTTAGAGCTCTTTAGCTTAAAAATAGGGGTTAAAAATAAACAATAATTATTCACATCTTCAAACATGACTTGTGTAAAGTGACAGTACTTTCCATTTTAAGCTGTGTGGTTGGAGCACTGATATGAAAGCTGGTTTTGTTTAAGTTGGGTTATGTGTTAAGTTTTTGGCACAGCTCTTACAATTGTCAAACACAGTCAAAGGTCAATAAACTGGGGTGGTAAATTCACATAATTAGGAAGTTGATCAATTGTATCTGTATTGGAAAGGTCAATAGTAAAGTGTTTGGTGAAAAAGTCAAATTGACTTCCCTATTTTTCTATTGACAGCAGATCATTTTTCAAGTCTGTAATGTTTCTTACTTGAAAGGAATATTTTTACAATTGTAAAACCTTAAATCAAAGACATGATAAGATAATATGTCCCTTGCTACAAGCGAGTGATGAGCAGGATTTGGTTACACATCTATGACAGAATTCACATGGGAGGAAAAACGATGCTTGAATACTTGAAGAATGTTTCATTTTTGGCTTATCAGACTTTCTCAGGCTTTTTGTGGGACTCGGGCAGGAAAGTCCGGCAAAGTGCCACTTAAGACTGGGAGAGAGTATAGGCAGCAGAGTTCATGGGCACTAAAAAAAATATGCAGATTAAACTACTTTTCATCATGTCAGTGGTGTCCAGCAGTTGTTATACTTAAGATACCACAACCATTAAACAAGATGTTAACAACATGCTGTTACCGAAGACGTGGGAATACAGATTAACTAAGGCCCTATTTTTTAGTCTTCCCATGCATTTCATCAAATTTTCACAGCTTAAAAAGCCAAACCTGAGATTCATTAAGGAACAATGAAACTGAAATTTCCTGTTTCTACAGATCAAACATACGTATACAAAAAACTTGTGAAGTGAAATCCATCGAACATAACCCCATTTCTCAAGGCTCAATTAAGAGCAGCGATACTAATTTCCGACAGGCAGAGTAACACACTTCCTTGACATTGTTATAACTTCCTTATGTCACCCCTAACGGAACTCTTTGAGGCCAGCTCTGTGGCCAACAGAAGGGAGTTCACCACATGTGATAAGTCCTAAGTACATTAGTTGACTTTCTGTGTACTCTTGGTGTGTGAACATGATTCCCCACGGACCAAAGATTGAGATGAACTGGGCACATCCAAAGATAAGCCAGCAAGTTCTCACACCAAGTCAAAATCGGTCAATCTCTAAGGAGAAACTTTCCAAAAATGTGCTTTTAAAATAAGCAAAGACATCTACT